GCACCTCCAAGGGCCCCTGAGCAGAGTGGGAAGGACACCTGGGCTTGGCAATTTTGGGTACCTGCATCCCAGACTGGACTGGGTTGGAAAGGACCTTAAAGATCATCCAGTTCCACACCTTCCACTAGCCCAGGTTGCTCCAAGCCCCATCCAATCCAGCCTTGGACACTTCCAGGGATGGGGCAGCCTCAGCTTCTCTGGACAACCTGTGCCAGGGCCTGCCCCACCCTCCCAGGGAAGAAATCCCAGAGCTGAATGTCTGGAGCAGGAGAAACACCCCAAATTCACAATGGGGGTGGTTTTCTTGTGCCATTTAAGCAGCATTTCTTGCCCTCCCAAAAGCAACAGATCCAGGACCATCATCAGGGAGATTCAGGGCCTGGATGTCACCAGGGAGCACATGGAGAGGGGCTGGTGCTGACCAGAAGCAGCATTTGGTCCCTGGGTGCTGCCAGGGCACTGAAGGAATCAGGATACAATCCCAAGGAAGCAGATACATCAGACCAAGACGATTTGCTACAATTTACAAAGGCTAGAATTGCCACCTCCTGCAGAATGGAATTCTAGACAACTGAAAACCATGAGTTTCCTGTTATTTTTTTATGTAACAAATACAGACACCTTGCTTTCCCTTCAGCCCTTGCCCTGCTGACTCCAAGGCAGTGACTGGAATGTGGAAACCTTATTATGTATTGATTTTCCCCACACAGTACAGCTGTAGAAAATGTAATAGTCCCTGTTCTGTCTTGCCAACAAAAAAAAAATCCTGGGAAGCAACGTTGTCATCCAGCAAAGCACAGGAAAGTTGTGGTGCTTAACAAGGATGAATCACATGCAAGTATTGGAGTGGATGGAAAATTGAATCAAAAGTAGAAATAAATTTGATTTATCACATCCTGTTTGCATTTATTATGGTCTCCTCCTAAGTGATAATCACTCTAAAAATAGAGATTTATTGCTTTTGCAACTAGATTTGAATATAACTGAGACTAAAATACAAGGAATTAAACCCAGCAAAATAATTCACAGACTAATTGCTTAAGAAATGAAACCTCCATCTCTCCTTTCCAGCCACTGTCTGCCTTTCCCTGCCCAGCCAGTGAGCACTGCAACGACAGACCCCATGTGTTTTTTTGGGAATGTGCCATCAGACTTCTTTTCCACTCCTCCAGGTTAATCCAGCGGACACCCCACAGGCACCGTTTGCACGCAACGAAAATCCCCTTCACCCCTCTGGGCCAGAGGTCATTCTGCACTGCCAAGCTTTGTCCAGCCCTTTTCGGGAGGAAAACCTGCCAGGGATGGTGAGAGATGAGTGGCTGTTCTTTGTGAAGACAGTTATTGTGTGCTAAGAGTAGAGGTGAACCCTTGGAGTTGCTTGGCTTCAGACCTGAAGCTGGGCTCAAACCACGGCCCAAGAATTAAATGCTCAGCTCATCACCTGCCAACCACCAGCCATGGATTAACCTTGCACCCCAAAATGTGATTTGTGAGTGTTTGCCAGCCCCTTCTCTTTCTTATATAGGCCAAAGTGTTGCTCTAGAGTAAAGAAATCATCAAAATTATTATGTTGGATAAAGGAACAGCCTAAACCCTCACTTCCATGGGTTCATCCTTGACTATTGAACCAAGGCTGTTGTTTTCTTGCCAGTGCTGCAGCTGCCCCTGTGACAAGCACAGCATAGGGTGGAGCTTCCATAACTACGTTATTTCCTGAGCTTTTCCAAAATGCATTAATATAAGTCCAATTCTCCAGTGAAATGAACCATGAACACAATATATTGGTCTCTTGGGGTACTCCCTCAACTAGTGAAGCCTTTTCAACCCTGCTTACAGTTTATTGCAGGGGAAAAGGGTGAAAAGATGCTGTTTCCTTGATGCCACCCCCATCCCTGCAGAGCTGACACCACAGGAGGCACCAGTTTGCTCTAAACTCCAGCAGGAGTTACAGAATTGAATCACAGAATATGCTGAGATGGAAGGGACCCATCAGGATCACCGAGCCCAGCTCTTGGCCCTGCACAGCACACCCCAAGGATCCCTCCATTGGATTTCTAATGTATCTGAGATCAGGAGACATCCAAAATTACATCTGACTGCAAGAGCATCCTGTGCTCTTACTCATGTTTGACTTCTTGAGCTCACACAGACATGGCATAGCAGTGACAAGTCATCCAGGGTGTGGGTGGCAGCAGGGTGTGTGTCACAGGCTGCTGGAGCATTACACACTTAGGGACGCTTCATTTTTGACATCTGATTGAACTCCCCACGTGAAAAGGCCCAGCTCCTCAGCCCTTCTGCATTTCCAGTGTGGACAGATTTCCTTGGAGCCCCAGCTGAGCTCCTGAGTTGGCTCCCTGTTCTCAGACACCCTCCTGAGGGACCCAGCCCAGTAAGGCTATTTCTGGGCTTCCATGGGAACCTGGTTCTAAGCAAGGCTGGACCACAGATCCCACCCATTCCAGCACCCCATCACCCTTTTCCACTAAAGCCTTCACTGCCCAATTAGCCCAGAGCCTCGTTACCTGATGCAGTTCTTCCCTCAAGCCCTGTTTTTGCTTACAGGGATTACAACTTCCCTACTCCATTTGATTGATTTATTTTAAAAAAAAAAAAAAATCATCTCCTTCTCTTTCCAACACACAAAAATAGAATTAGAGAACAGCAGAAGCACAAAGAAATACAAATTATGGCCTCCATGTGCACATTGAATCATCACCTTAAACAGTCCCTGAAGAAAGGTTCTGGCAGTGGAGTGGGATCCTTTCACTGAGCTGTCCATGGATTTCCCAAAGCAGGACCCAGGTGAGCTAATAAAGGCTATTCTGGGAAAACTTGAAGCACCTGCAGCCTCCTGGGGTTCTCATTCTTGTGTTTTCTTGCATTTCCAGGGTCCTGCAATGGGATTATTGTCCCAGGAGAAGCAGTCTCAAGGTGAAAATACAGAGCTCAGCCCGTAAAGCTGGATCTGGAACTTTGTATCCTGAAGCAGAAGAAAACTGGGTTCAGTGAAATAACTTCTTGCCCAGCTCTGAGGTTCAGTGTCTTCACTGTGTTTTGGAAAGTCTCTCTGGCTCTTCCAGGGGTTTCTCCATCCTTCCTATGTAAAAATGTGTGCCCAGGCCTTGGAGAATGAATATCACAGTCCAAAGGCAGCCCTCTGATAGGATCCTACTCACTTTAAAAAGGAAAGAAGAGTTATAATTTAAATGTCTTCTTACTTGATACCCCTGGAAAATCATAACATGAACAAAGAGATTCTGTCTGAAATATTTTAAAGGCTGTTTCAGAACAGTGATTTCTCTCATGTAAAAGTGATTTTTTTCTTGTATGAAGCTTTTCTTTCGAATAGCGAAGTAATAAACAATAAATATATCTACATAAACCTGCACAGGATATTGACTGATAAGTTCAGTTTGCTCTTTCCTTCACTCTAGATCTTATAAAGTTGGATATTTGTAAACCAGATGCTTTGTAAAACACTTTATTGCATTTGGGGTCAAGAAGAACTTGGCTTGTACAGCTGAATCTTCACTTCCATCAGGAGCTATGCATCTCTGAAATGCTTTAGGTTCTTAGTTTATGTGGCTTTTTTGTCACATTGACCACTTGTTTCATGGTCCCATTATAATGCATAAATATATTGAATAATATATTTGAATATTTGAATTATACAGGTTTCTATTTGGGGTTATTTTCCTGTAAGAAACGACAATAATATTTTTAGCTTTTTGTTTAAGAAAGATGTATTTTGGTCATAAACGAGGAAGAGCCAGGAAGAGACGAAGAGCCAGGAAGGAAAGGCAAGAATTTATATTTGTTTTCTTCAAAAAACAAGAGGAAAACAAAAGCAGGGAGCAGGCACCAGGTATTAATAAGCAAAGGGGATGTTGACCAAAATCCTCACATTTGAAGTACTAAATAAAAAGCTCAAACCTCACCACCGTGGCTGCAGCCCGTTGGTGCCACATTGCATTTTCCCAAAGCTTCGTAAAAAATGCTTTTATGAGATGCTGTGGATAAATCCGAGGTGTTTTAAGTGGCAGCCTCAAGCAGAGGTGCCTTGGGAAGCCCTAGGGTGTGCGAGGGGCTGTGCTGGGGGCAGAGCCCGGGGGGCACAGGAACACCCACACCACAGGCCACCAGCTCCCCACAGGAGATGGGCAAAGGTATGAGCAGGAAAACCAGCAATTAAGGAGCTCCTCAGCAGGGACCTGGCTTAATTTGAGATGCTTGATTAAATCTGGAATTCTTTGTACAAGTTCTGTCAGCTCCACGGGCTGACACAAAGATGAGCTTGTGTTTTGGGGGGGAAAGGGTTTTATTTAGGAACACTGCAGGGGATGGAGGGCTGGGTGAGCTGTATGGCAGCATGGTATTCCCTGGGAGCAGTTTCCAATATCCCGTCTAACCCTGTCCTCTGGCAGTGGGAAGCCATTCCCCCTTGCCTGTCCCTCCAGGCCTTTGTCCAAAGTCCCTCTCCAGCTCTCTTGGCACCACTTTATGCACTGGAAGGGACTCTAAGTTCTCCCTGGATCCTTCTCTTCTCCAAGCTGAACAATCCCAGCCCTCTCAGCCTGTCTCTTTGGAGCATCTCCTGGCATATCTGGGACATCCAGACTTGAAACCCATCACTTACCTTCCTGAACCGAGCCAGGAGGGCTGTGACTGGCAGGGAACTCTGCTTTACTCCTGGCCATGGACAGGTGAGAAAACCACACTGGACACCTGCATGGCAGGAGGTTAAAGCCTTTCCAAGGTGGTGGGAAGAGACAGTGAAAAAAGGAGGGAAAGCAGCACCCACACCCATCCCGTCCTCCCGCACCTCTCTGTAATCATCGATTTTATATAAAAACTTACATTTACACCTTACAAAAATACTCCTCTCTCGTGCCTCAGCGCACCTGGGTGTGCCCGGGGGGCTCCAGTCAGGGCTGGCCCCCGGCGCGGCCGTACAGGGTGGCATCGGGGCCAGGGGGACACGCCACCCCCGCGCCCCCGCCGCTGCCCCCGGCCGCCTCCGCCGCTCCGGCCCCCTCCGCCCGCCGCCGCCTCCTCCTCCTGAAATTCCCGTTATCGAACATCTTCTCGCAGTTGGGGTCGAGGGTCCAGTAGTTTCCTTTGCCTGCGGAGAGAGGAGGGTCCGTCGGGGCTCCATCCGCCTGGGGAGCGGGGGTCCCGCCGTGTGCCCACCCCGGTGCCCTTCACAGAATCACAGAATCCACGAGGCTGGAAAATACCTCTGGGATCATCGAGCCCAACCTCTGACCCGACACCACCTTCTCCGCTAAACCACGGCACTGAGCGCCGCATCCAGTCTCGCTCCAAGATCGTCGAGTCCACTCTGTGCCCGATCCCCACCTTGTCACCCAGCCCAGAGCCCTGAGTGCCACGTCCAGTCGCTCCTCGGACACCTCCAGGGACGGTCACTCCACCACCTCCCTGGGCAGCCCCTTCCAGTGCCCTAAACGCTCTCCTTGCAAAGAATTCCTTCCTGACGTCCAACCCAAACCTCCTCTGGCGCAGCCTAAGCCTGAGCCTTCTTGCCCTGAGTCTGTGCCCTCTCCTGCTTACCGGGGTCGTCCTGGTCCCGCGGCACCTTCCTGAAGCAGTCGTTGAGGGAGAGGTTGTGTCGGATGGAGTTCTGCCAGCCGGCCCTGCCGCGCCGGTAGAAGGGGAAATTCTCCGCCACGAACTGGTAGATCTGGCTGAGGGTGCGGCGGCGGCCGGGCGCGCTGTGCAGGGCCATGGCGATCAGCGCCGAGTACGAGTAGGGCGGCCGTGCCGGGGACAGCGGGGACAGCGGGGACATCACCGGCCACCCCCGGCCCGCGGGGCCCGGCGGCAGCACCGCCCCGGCGGGCGGGCACGGGGAGCAGGGGCCGCCCGGCCACGGGGACGGGCTGGCGGCGGGATGCGGGGCGGGACGGGGAGCCGGGAAGGGAGCGGAGCATCCCGCGGCCTCCAGCAGCTCCCGGGCGAGCGGCGGCGCGGGGGGCGGCCCGAAGGGGTGCATGGTGCGGGGGCAGCGCCGAGCCCGACCGGCACCCCGCTTAAGTACCGCTTAAGGACCGCCTAAGGACCGCTGAGGGACCGCCCGAGGGACCCCCTCCCGCCCCTCGGCCCCAGCACGGCCCGCCCCGCACAGCCGGGCAGGTGCGGGGGCAGCGGGATCGGAGCACACGGAGGGGATGGGGAGATGGGGGGAGGGTTTCCTGGGGAAGCGGCGAGGATTTGGGAGTAACAGGCGGGTGGGAGCTGAGCACAGGAAGGACGTGCACCTGTTGGAGCAAGTTCAGACGAGGCACCAAGGTGATCGGGGGGATGGAGCAGCTCTGCTGTGAGAGACAACTGGTATTGTTGAGCCTGGAACAGAGAAGGCTTTGGGGTGACCCAATTGAGGCCCTCCAGGACCTGAAAAGAGCCCACAAGAAAGATGGGGAGAAACTATTTACCAGTGCTTGGAGTGACAGGACAAGGGGGAATGGCTTCACGCTGACAGAGAGTAGGTTTATATAGGGTATTGTGAAGAAATTCTTCCCTGGGAGGGTGGTGAGGCCCTGGCACAGATTGCCCAGAGAAGCTGTGGTTGCCCCATCCCTGGAAGTATCCAAGTATCCAAGCCTCATCCAAGGATGAGGCTTGGAGTGACCTGGGCTACTGGAAGGTATCACTTCCTATGGCAAGGGCTGGAACACCATGATCTTAAGATCCCTTCCAACCCAAACTATTCTAGGATTCTATGAATTTGGGAAAACCAGACCGGGCTGATCCCACTTTCTGTATTCTTCCGATCAAGTGAACAAAATCTCATAGCCCCAAGAGCCTCTTCCTGTACCAAGGAGATTACCAGCAAGCCAGGAAAAGGGATAAAGGTGAGCAAACACATATGCACACTGCAAGATCAAAAAGAGCCTTCATACCATTGGCAGGGTATGCATCTGAGTATCAGTTAATTCAGGCTTATTTATAGAAGATCTCCCTTCAAATCTCAAAAGTGTGAGGGGAGATATTCCTTCCCTATATTCTGTAATGAAAATAATTGAGGAAACAACCTGACCCCTAACATTAAAGCTATTTAGTTTCCCTGCTGTCAGTGATTACCTGGAGACATCCAGCAGCAAAGTGACCTCCAGGTATCACCAGCCTGGCTGCCTGTGGATGCTGCTGTTTCGTTTTCCATGGCATTGCTTGTCTGTGTGTCAGGGAAAGGTGTAACTTGTGTTTGTATCCGTCAGGTTGAAGCAGAGCAGCAAAGCAGTATTATTTGTGTTAGTCTAGTGCCTCGTGGCAAACTTCATGTGAGTTGGCTGCATTTTTGTGTAAGTTGTAGACATCTACCATGCAAACAAGAGGATTTGTTTCATATATTTTGCAAACATACCAATTTACAGGCCCACAGAGAGCTCATTAAATTGTCCCCTTCTCAGCTGAGCTGACACCCGAGGACACAAAACCACATATTTGTTAATGCTGACTTTTTTTTTGCTTTGCAGAAACCCTTTTACTAGGAAGCAGCAATCCCTGGTAAACACCCAAACATATTTTAACTCCTTGATGATATTCTAACCCAAAGGAAAAATACTTCTTGTTGCAGAATGTGGAGCCTTTTACAACCTTTTTTCCATTTCTTTAGCATTTCACCTGGATTCACAAGGTGAGGAATGTGTCAAGGTGGCATGAGGGGAGACCTCATTGCAGTTACAGCTTCCTGAGGAGGGGCAGAGGAGGAGCAGGGCTGAGCTCTGCTCTGTTTGACCAGGGACAGTACCCAAGGAATGGCTGGAGCTGTGTCAGGGCAGGCTCAGGGTGGATCTCAGGGAAAGGTTCTTCCCCCAGAGGCTGTCTGGGCACTGAACAGGCTCCCCAGGGCAGTGGGCACAGCCCCAAGGCTGCCAGAGCTCCAGGAGTGTTTGGATGATGCTCTCAGGCACATGGTGTGACTCTTGGGGATGGTCCTGTGCAGGGCTGAGGGTTGAACTGGATGATCCTTGTGGGTCCCTTCCAACTCGGGATATTCTGCGATTCTGGGCACAAGCTCTGCTGCGGCTTTGGACAGTCTCTGATACACTTTTTAAACGCTGCAGTCGCTTAACGGGACCTTTTCCAGCATCTTTTCCATCCTGGCGTCCTTCATCTCCCGGGAGATGCGCTCGTTCCCAGCGGCTCCCTGCAAACAGCGCGAGTCGTCCGAGGAGCAGGATTTGGAGCTCAGGGAGCGCCGCTGAGTTATCCCGGCGTCATTCCCAGGGAAAAGCAGATGTTTTTAGTCAATCGTGGGCCGGCGATGCCATCTAGTGGCACCGGGACCGGTTCCGGGAGCTGCGGGGTGTCCGCTCCCCCCTCCTCCTGCTGCGGGCACCGATCCCGCCCTTCTGTGCCATAAAGCCCAAAAACTGGGGTGCATTAGCGAGCCAGCAGGACAGACAGATGGATTTCTGACCAATACTGGGTTTAAAGGACTTCAAAGCCCATCCAGTCCCACTCCCTGCCATGGACAGGGACACCTTCCACTAGCCCAGGTTGCTCCAAGCCACATCCAACCTGGCCTTGGACACTTCCAGGGATGGGACAGCCACAGCTTCTCTGGGCAACCTGTGCCAGGGCCTCCCCACCCTCACAGGGAAGGATTTCTTCCCGATATCCCACCTGCCTGTCAGTTCCAAGCCATTCCCACTCGTCCTGTCCCTACGTGTCCTTGTCAAAAGTCTCTCCAGCTTTCAATTATTTATCTCCAGCCTCAATTATTTATCACTACAAGTCTATCTGAGACCCTACATTTTATGAAAATGTCCTGGCAAAGGAAAGGAATTGCAGGCAGCACAGTTCCTCCTCATAGTACTATCCCTCATGGATTAGCTCCTCTGCATCAAGTGGGAATAAATTCCCTGTTCCTTCCTCTACTCAAAATAATTACAGTAAACCTGAAAAAGTGGAGTTTACAGAGGCTGTTTGGGAGATTAAAACACAATAATTCACCTCAACAAAGCATTCAATATCAATCCTGATGAAGCTGATTGAAATGTGGGTGTTTTGCACCAAAAGCATCAGTTTGATTTCTCTGGAAACACCAGATGTTGGAACAAACCCCCCTCATTTCAAATAAGAAGTGGGAGAGAGTGAAATACAAACACATGGTGAGAAAGAACAACCAAGGCATCTAAAATGAAGAGTTTATCAAAACAGAAAGAAATACAGAAAATACCATGAATAGAAATCCAGATGCTATTTTGACTTCAATACAACCATGCTTACTTGGTATAACAATTCTTAGCGAATAAATAAATATTAGCGACAGTTTTCAGGTCAATAATGACAGTAATTAGGAAACAAATGGACATTTTCCAGGTCAGTCTGTGGCAAATAATCAAATTAGTTATAAAATTAGAATTCAAATAATGTCAGCAAAGATGGTTTAATCCTGAAATACTTCTCTTCAAAAGGAGCCATAAAAACAGACAAATCCACTAGTTTGCCATAGTTAAATTTCACACTGTATTCTCATTTATTTTGATATCTAACTCCTGACAGGTGAACCTGTGTTAAGGAAGGCTTCAAGAAGAGAAATGTTACATATGTATTTCAGCCTTTTGTGTCTCAAAATAATAGAATTTGCATAGACCAAAGGTTTTGGCATTGAATTCAAGTCTTTAGGTGTTGTGTTCTGATAATTTGAATTTATATTCTTTACATGGCTAAACTGTTTCATTTATAGGCTCTTCTGATTGTTCATGAGCATTTGTGGCTTGGATTTCATCCTTTTTTTTTTTTATCTTTATCAAAGTTTGCCTTTCGACATTTCACTCAATCAGTTCACTTTCTTCCTGCCCATCTATCAATAAAAGCTGCAATTGTTATTTAATGAAAAGGTCTGAAACTCTGGAATGTTCTTTTAGAAACTTCTATAAAGTTAAATCCTTCCAGGGATGGTGATCAGCAGATGTCAAATTATAAAACTCACTAGAACAGCTCAGATATTTAACACATATAAGTGATTTAACCTTCTAATTCCACCCCCCTGCCATGGGCAGGGCCACCTTCCACTACACCAGGTTGCTCACAAATAGTCTTTAGGGAATTTCTCATATTTCAGTTCATATTTAATGCCTAAAACCCCTGTCTATTTTTCACCAGCAGGTGCAGAAATTAGTTTTGAAAACAGCAAAGGAGCTGCAACTACAGAAAATTAACTTTTGGGCGTGTGATGAACACAGAAGGGAGAAGACATGGCCTGTAGCAACAAAGACTGCATATAACAACCATCTATCTCCTTAAATGAGTGTGTTTAATTCCTCAGTAAGCAGCTCCTTCTTTTCTCAGCTGAGAAAGGATTAATCTCTGCTTAAGAAAACCAGGATTTCATTTAAGAAAAAAAAAAATTAAAGAAATGAGGAGCCACCAGCAATATTTTGTTTTAACATTTCTGAAGTTTACCAAAGACATAGACAAATTGTCCCTTATAAATTTATAAGCTGCACATAGAAATTGATGCTTTTGTATAAAAAGCAGAGCTTGGTTTTGCTCCTTTCTGAGTAAAATATTCCAGCTTGACAAGCAGAAGCACAAAATAGTATTAATATCCTCACACCATGACAAGATCATACATTTCTTCATTAAGTTTTCCTTCAGTCTGCTCAGACTTTGGTCATTTATTTTTTTTCTTTCTCATTAAAATGATCAGAGATCAAGACCTGGAATTCAGAAGGAGCTGTATTGAAAAAATAAATTCCCTGCAGCCTCATTAAGGAGCAAAGGTGATCCCAATCACTCACCAGCAATTTGAAGAGGAGCAATATTCCAGGAGGCAGCTCCAGCCAAGCTCTCCTTGCCTTCCCCAATGTCTGGAGTATAAAGAGCCAGCCAGGGAAATCTATATTTAAAAAAAGAACTGGAAAATGCATTGATTTATTTGCCTTCTTTTGACTATTAAATACTTTTTTCTTCCATTCCAGAGAGTTGAGTTGTTCAGCAAAATCTGTGATTTTATGCTCTGCATGTGCAGTATATTTTTCAGAC